ATCCCCTTGTGTAAAGATTACACGATTTCCATGAGTTCATGTTCCTCAAGCTGTTTTATGATAAGCAACGACCTCTCTTAAAGATCCTGTATGTTCTCAATGTGGTAATCAGTAACTGGATAGTCTATAGAACTTACTAAACTAAGTGTTGTTGTTTATTATCCCCTTGTGTAAAGATTACATGAATTCCATGAGTTCCATGTTCCTCTAGCTGTTTTATGATAAGCAACGGCCTCTCCCAAAGGTCCTGTATGTTCTCAATGTGATATTCAGTAACTGGACAATCTATAGATCTTATTCTAAACTAAGAGTTGTTATTTCTTATCCCCTTGTGTAAAGTTTACCCGGCATTACATCTGCAGCTCCAGAACACATTTTATCAGATGCACTAAACAGGACCTTTGAGAGAGGCATCTGCTTATCATCAAACAGCTCGAGGAGCATGAACTCATGGAATTCGTGTGTAAACTAAGAGTTGTTGTTGTTTCTTATCCCCCTGTGTAAAGATTACACAAATTCCATGAGTTCATGTTCCTCTAGCCCTTACCACATAGGACTGAAGGACACAGCAGATTCAATTGCAAAATTCAGCAGCAATACACAACTTGGACCTTGATTTCAACACCTTTAAACGCATACTGAAAAGAAATATCCAAGCAAAAAATACAGGAATCAACATCCCATCATTGGTATCTGAACCAAAAGCCTGGAGGAGTCTTCTTACACGATCTTCACAAAATTGACCCAATAATAATGCGCGAAGTGGCCTGATTGGTAGTTTGTCTTACCCTCGGCAAGTGGGTTTTATTATTTGTTATACATTGTTACACTAGCTCTGAAATGTCCCAGAGGAAAATTTCTCTGAATTTAGACAAGCTTCACAGAGATACACAAATCACCTTCCAGTGGATCCCTTCCCACATAGGACTGAAGGACACATCAGATGCAATTGAAAAAATCAGCAGCAATACCTAATTTATACTTTAATTTCGACTCCATTAAACGCATACAGAAAAGAAATATTCAAGAAAAATACAGGAGTCAACATCTCATAATTGGTATCTGGACAAAAGCCTGGAGCTATTCTGGAATGTGGGATGAACCGACAGGCAGAAACCTGTATTTCCAGGCTCAAAACTGGCAGCTATACAAGGCCGCTCCTCTTCCAGGATGGTGTAAAGACACAATGCACCATCTACAGGACCAAAGAGGCTTCACCAGACCACTTCTTGGAATGTATGGAAGCCTCAAGACTGCTCCTCTTCCAGGATGGTGTAAAGACACAATGCACCATCTACAGGACCAAAGAGGCTTCACCAGACCACTTCTTGGAATGTATGGAAGCCTCAAGACCGCTCCTCTTCCAGGATGGTGTAAAGACACAATACACCATCTACAGGACCAAAGACCAGACCACCTCTTGGAATGTATGGAAGCCTCAAGACAGGACCTATATTCCAACCCTACCAAGATTGTGGATATATCAATGATTTTAGCCTCCATGACTTTGTATAACTATACAATGGGATAATAAAAAATATGCTCCTCCATCTGTTTTATGAAAAGCAGCAGCCTCTCCCAAAAGTCCTATTTAGTGCATCTAATACAAGCCAAAATGTGTTCTGGAACTGCAGGTGCCAAGCTACATCTTGGGCAAGTGGGGTAGATTTTGTTGTTATTTTCTATCTTCAATGGCTTGAGATGGTCTGTTCTAAATCTTGTTAGTGTTGTTTGGTGCTGTCTGAGGTTCAGAGCTCCTCCTGTGTCCACCTCACAGCTGAGCTTAGGTGGGATCCTCCAGTTCATACGCATTCAAATGCTTAAATCATTGAAGTAAAAAGTTATATATTCCATTATCTTATTTTAGACATCCTAATTAAAAACAATGATATTTGTTTATTTCATTTTTTTGGAATTAAGTCACATGAAAACATAACTAAACAAAATATTATATTAAAAATTAAATATGATAAATTTAAGAAATTCTGTAAATATATCTGTGATTTTCTCTTTTAGTTAAAACCACATAATTTCTAAACTAGGTATTTGTATTTATTTCATTGGTTGTCCCTAGGTAGGATGTGGAATCAAGCATGATGTCCTTTCATTTCTTCCTTAAACTTCTATTCAAACCTTGTAATTCATCAATTGTTTATGTAAAATAGAATTTAGTGTTGTTTCTTGACACAAGCATCTCCTGTGGAGATATCGCGTCTGATTTGATGATAATAAATGTTGACGTGTGAAGCTAGTTGTCGTAAGTTGAATTCGCGCATATGTAATATTCATAATGAGAATTCGAAACTATTATAGACGTGTATGATTCTTTTAAAAATTAAACAATTTCTACTGCCCTTACTGCAATGGAAAAACTAATGGGAGGGCCTGGCTCATTAGTGATTAACCCTCCCAGCGGTTTCGCTAGTTTAATCTACCATACCGCTGTTATATTGCATTTTTTATCTTCTTTTTATAGTGATACTGATGCTAGGCTCTTGGAATGGGTATTTTAGTAGAACTATGGACATGATATAATCATCACACACACACAGAGAGAGGTTCTAGTAAATAAATAAATATTTATTGTACAAAGTGTATCAAAGGTAAAAAATAATGAGATGAACGAGACAAGGGAACAACACCACGGCTACAGTTCGTGCAGCAGGTAGCGCTTGAGACGTGTGGGCAGCGGCAGCAGGGGGATCTTCTCGATGAACCTGTGGCCCAGGGCCCGGCGGAGGAACACTCTCAGGGCGTTCTTGAGGGTGATTGGGGTCTGCGCGTGTCTGAGGAGCACCTCGCGCTGTTCATCCGAGAAGAGGAGAGATTTCTTAATGGCGGGCGCACTTATAGTCTCAGCAGCGTCTAGCACGAGGCCTAGCACATCTGCACAGTCCTGGACTCGCAGCTTCTGGAGGGTCTTCAGGATGCCGAGGGGATGATGGAGCTGAGGCCTCAGCACGACCCGGGCCCCGTAGTGGAGCAACAGGCGGACCACCGCTGACCGAGGGATCTCCCCTGACAGGAAATACTCTCCTAAAGGTGGACGCAGCAAAGGACCGTTCGGACCTACAGGTTCTTGTTCTTGGGAAACTGAAACAGCGTTAGGATCAGCTCCAGCTTCTAGGAGAATTTTGACCAGTTCCTCTCTATTAGGCACCTTCTCTGACAGAGCAATATGTAAAGGACATCCTATTATTGGAGATCCGGCATTCACGTTAGCTCCAGCGCTAATCAGGATATTGACAAGTTCCACATGTCCTCGTAGAACTGCGAAGTCGAGAGGTGTTGGCTTGCCGTAATCTGACGGGAAGTTGACATTCGCGCCTTTTTTCAGCAGAAGATATACTGTGTCCAGGTTGCCACTGAGGACTGCGTAGTGGAGCACGGTCCTCCGGTCGTGTCTCTCGGACGTGGCAGCGTTGACATCCGCGCCGTACCCCACCAGGAGTTTCACGGCAGGCAGACCTTCAGGATGTCGGGCAGCTTTCATTAAGGGAGTTAAGCCAGCACGATCTCTTGAATCAGGATCGGCACCAAACCGAAGCAGAAGCTCGAGAAATGACACATTGAGAGGAGAAATCAGATTGATTTCAGATCCCAAGAAATATCTGGCATTAGGATTAGCACCGTGTTTGAGAAGCACTTCGGCACATTCCAGATGGCCGTTCTTCATTGCAAGTCGGAGAGGTTCATCGGCCAGCACGGCCCGGGGCGGGTTGCCCAGCCGGCAATCGGGGACATCCGTGAAGCTGACCTTGGCGCCATGGTCCAGCAGTAGATGGATGAGGTCGAGGAAGCCGCGCTCGGCGCACAGATGCAGAGCGGTGTAGCCGATGTCGTCCATGGCGTCAGGATCGCTGCCGCGCACCAGGAGCAGGTTGACGGCCTCGAAGTACTGCTGGTAGGTGGCGTAGTGCAGCGGCCGCAGCCCCTGGGCCACCGGCTCGTTCACCTTGGCCCCGCAGGCCAGCAGGATCCTGATGTCGTCCAAGGAGGCACAGCGGATGAGAGAGTCTGCCAGCTCCCGCTGGAGGGTTTGAAGACAGGGAGCAGACGGCATGATCTGGACACACGCAGGCACTGGTCAGGATGGACACGACTTCAGAGATCAATATATATATGGTTCATTCCGTCAATATATATCAGGTAAAAATTTAAAGTTTTCAAATTACACTTATAGACAAAACTTAAGGAAGTTTCATATTTTTATTTCCCCGGTCGTCTTTTTCTTTTTTTTTTTTAAGAAGACGAAAACAATTTTGTTTACACTTGGTTATCTCGTGTGTTTTCAATAAAGTTCACTGTGTATCAAATATCTTTCAGAGTTATTGTCTGAATCTCGATATACATGCTGAAAGGTAAAACTTCCTTAAGTTTTATCCATGAGTGTGAATAAAACTTCAAATACATATCCAAGAGTTTTTATAATATGATTGGGATATTTGAATTCTTAAGAACAATAGAAAAATATCTTTTTTTGTAGAATATATTTCCATAAGGCCAATAGCTCAGCTTCAAATTAATAGCTTGGATTGAAAAAGACGATAGTGGGTAGCCGCAACATTGGAATAATGGCAAAGAAGTTTTATATATTCATATTTTATAGTTTAAAAGTTGAATAATCAATTATTCATATATATGAAAAAATGTAAATAAAAGTTGAATGTGAAATATTTGGTATCAGAGATGTTGTTTTCAGTGAAAATAAAAAAGAAAAACTTCTCCTAGTTTGACAACTCTGTAAAAGTATAGAGTGCCATTTTTCTTTGTTTTATTTTCACCGAGTTCTTAATAAAGTTCATATTAAAGGACGTACCTGGATCTGTAAAGAAGAAAAAAACAATTTTTTCTCAAAATATTTCGAGAGATTGCTCCATCTTTATAAACATATCTCATGAAAGATAAAGAGGGAGCAATCTCTCGGAATATTTTGAGAAAAAAATTGTACGCCATTTTATATAACTTATTTGATGGATCGCCTTTTGACTCAAATTCTTAATAAAGTAGCCTAGTGGACATGGCATCTGCCCGGTAAGCGGAACACTGTGGGTTCGATTCCCATCCCTGGACACTTTTATTTTTCCGTTTATCATTACTCTTCACAATTCATCCTTTCATACTTCATCCCTAAGGTTAGAAATAATCGTTATTTCTCCTTAAAATAAATTTCGATTTTTCGTTCAAAAGAAACATTCGCGGTATAATTGCAATTTTCGTTTTACAAAGTGTAAATTCTTAAAGTAAAAAAGTATCTTTCCTTTAATGCCTTAAATATTCAAACGTTTGGATGAAGAGTGTAGGATCTGCTGGTCAAATATAACGTATGTTGACATATGCAGAGGAGCCACCATACTGCCATGTTTACATCGTCTGCCGGAAATAACCCCACGGTCGTCTGCGAATATCGCAAGGCCAGCACGTGATGACGTCAGAGCCCCCACAAAGAATAAATTTGAGGTCAAAAATAATCTGAAGTAGGAAATAACGAATCAGATATAAATAAATATTGTTCTGAATATAGAGAGCAATACATATTTATATCTTTTGATAATTGTAAGGCATATATTGGAAAGAATAAAATATTTATTTGCCATTTTATTGCCATTATTCAATCCAATATATGCCTTTCTATCAAAAGATAATTTTTCTATAAAGTATAAAATATAAACGGCAATGCGTTTATTTATTCGTGAAAAGTTTAAGGTTTCGGATCTTTATAATCCTTCCACAGTATTGCCTGTGTCAGAAATATTCTCACAATGAGTATCTTTTTTATTTAAAAAACGCTAGCTTTCAAGTGTTAATCGCTCTTCAACGGGTGTACAATAATATCGACTTGATCCCACCAGAAATATTTACAAAAAACAAACGCGCGCAGCGTGGATTTTATATTTAAAAAAATACTCATTGTGAGAATATAATTGTAATTTTAATACTTTTTCACAATTTTATCATGAATAGAGATCAGAAAGCTTGCACTTTTCACGAATAAAGAAACGCATTGATGCCGTTTATATTTTATACTAGCCGAATGACCCGGGCAACGCCCGTGTTTTAACCGATTGAATGTTTTGATTCAAATACACACACACACAAAGCCTTTATTAAGACATTAGTCTTATACAGATTCTCCGTACAAGGTGCAATATCAGGAAAAGAGCAGCACAGGAAACCAGTAGTTCCGCAACTATATACAATTATTAGTAATAAGGAAAAGTAAGATTTAATGTGAAAGGTCGACCCCTCGATGTTTCGTCATCATTCTGAGGTGTAAGAACAATAGCTTCCAAGTTCTCTTTTCTCCCTCTTTACACCTACTGCCTTGTAAAAATTATATAGGCCTGAGCAACTAATCTGCTTGTTTGGGCACTGGTTAACATCATTTGGATTGACCTTAGTTGGCTGGTGTCTACCATTGAAAAGAATGTCCTTCTCTCCTCACTAATATCTTGGCATTCATAGATATAATGAGATAGTTCAGTTTCCATATTTTCTTTGCAGAGATCTGATTCAAATACTATTTGTTATCCCAATTAGATGGGAATACGCCTCTTTGGAAAATTCTGAAGATTTGATTTTTTTTCTCTTGCGAATCTCTTGAATTCAAAGTCAACCCTAGACTAACGAGAGCCATTAGATTGACACCATGGTCTCCGGGTGGACGCTTCTCAATTTGCAAACGCTGTTGTGGATTTGTCACCGATCCGAGTCCACTAGTATGTATAGATCTAAATATATAGAATATTTGTGATAAATATACATATATACATTATATGCAATGTTTTCAATGGTGGCGCCCACCGCGGGAAAGAATCCGCCACCGATGGACTGCAATAGTTCTTTCCCACAGAATGGGCAGGTCGATGTGATGGCTGGTGTTACCTAACTATAGACCAAGATGGTACTTGTAGATGTTAGCCTCCGTCACAATATTAAAATTCATAGTTTGCAGAGAAGAACTCCGCCTTTGTCGGTCCCAAGCCTGGATGAAAAAGGAGGAGGGGGAGCAGTAACAAGCTCGCTAAACAACCTGGGCTCAGCTGGCCCGGCTGATAGTAACCTGTAAGGGCTCCAGGGATACAGGATGAGTCTGTACTCCATGTTAGGAGCGGCTGCACATGGCGTCTGTTTCTCATGTCAGAGGCGGCCATTTCTTTTGGAGCTAAGTCGGCCTGCCACTGAGTAGTGCTCCCAGTCTTAATGACAAAGGCATTCTACTTCACTCATTGTCTCAAAATCTACAAGCTTGTTACCCTAATATGATTAAGTGGAGATAAGAAAGAAGAAGATAGCTTGCAGAGATGTCCAATAGATGGCGCTGATTTCCGTAAACCAGCTGCACGGACCTTGAGGACCGGAGCGACCCTGACGTCAGCACACCGTTGCCCCCAGTGAGGCAAGCCAGGTCTATGTATAGGCTCGTGCCAGGTGACCGTGGGGGTGAAGAAAATAAACTCCGTAGTGGTTGTATGTAAACGTTGTGAAAGTTGGGGACGAGAGTATATTGCAGTTCGAGGAACTGGGCTCTGTCACAAGTCTTTCTTCAACTTTCCATAACGTTGTGACACAGCAGATCCGGACGTGCCAGGTCGTGTGTTGTTGACCTTCCAATGCTTGAGTATGACACTTGAAAACTTTTGGATCCATCTATCTTTGGAATATTTTTTAAAACATATTCTAAAGCTACTTTTCTTTTTGAAAATATATTTATATAAATTCAATTATTCATACTCTCTCTATCTCTGATCTTATCCTGCAATGTTCATTCCTCTTTCAATTATTTATATATAAACGTTCAAGCACACGTTAAAATATGTTTATAATTTTCAGTGAATAACATATACACACTCATGGAAAAACTTAAGGAAGTTGTACCTTTCAGCATGTATATCGGGATTCAGAAAATAACTTTAAAAGATACACTCATGGACAAAACTTAAGGAAGTTGTACCTTTCAGCATGTATAAATCGGGAGTCAGACAGTAACTCTGATATATATTACAATGACCTTTATTGAAGACACACGAGAAACCAAGTGCGAACAAAATTGTCTCTGTCTCCTTCAAAAATAAAGATGACCGGCAACATCAAAATATGAAACTTCCATAATTTTTGTCCATGATTGTTTATAATTTAATTTTTATTTATTGTATTTTTTCAAAAGATATATATTTTATAATTTCTGAATATATTTTCTTTTTTATCTTTCTTTTTTACATGATGAATACTCAATTACAGTTGAGTTCATTAGAACTCTCTTCTGGGAACCAGGTGAAAGCGCACTTTATGCACGAAAGCTTTATAATATACCCAACAATACATTCAAAAGGAGTGATTCAAATAAAAATACTTAATGAAATATACATCATTACAATGATATTGTAAAATACATTTTATTGACAAAATATTTATTCACTAACAAGAGTAATGGGGAATAAATTATTTAAAGCTATGATTACTCTCCTCTGACCATTTATAAAGATGACACTATATCAGGAATGTATACACAAACTATATATACACTTATACACAGAACTCAAGGAAGTGGAAAGTCGTTTATTTCGTCGGTTGACGATTTTTTTTAAGGAGAAAGAGGCAAATTTATTCATACTTAGTTATTTCGTGAGTCTTTAATAAAGTTCACTGTAATATCTTTCAGTGTTATTGTTAGAATCCCGATATACATGCTAAAAGGTACAACTTCCTTAAGTTTATCCATGAGTATATCTTTCAGAGTTATTTATTAATCCCGATATACATGTTAAAAGGTACAACTTCCTTAAGTTTTGTCCATGAGTGTATATTCACATCGCATGCTAGACTACGCCATCGAGTCGCGTTAAGAAATATTTTTGTTGCGAAGACATTCACACTTAAGGAGGAATATTTTCCAATTATTTAATAGCTACTTGGTAATGTAGAATTATAGATAAACAAATATATATTTTAAAATATGGAAATCAGCGGACTGTAAAAAGAACAAGCCTTTGTAAATAATGCTTCCTTTTAAATTGTAACGAAGCCTAGAAAAAGGCGTTGATTGTAATAAACTTGAATGGTGAACACACAATCTTTTGATAAATATAGTTTGACTCAACAGAGCAATGTTTAGGAATAAATATATCACTAACTCTGATATTTAAATACAAATAGTTTTCAATAAAAATTTAATCTATAAAGATTTACATTGGTTCTACTCGGAAAAGAAGATTTCTATTAATTAGTTAAATATAAGGTAACTTTTTTAAATTTATTTTTGATGACCATATATACTCATAGACAAAACGTAAGCAAATATAAAGTCTCTGATGTCAACGGCTCTCTGCTTTTTTCAAGGAGACAGAGACAATTTTGTTCCCACTTGGTTATCTCGTATGTCTTTAATAAAGGTTACTGTAATATCTTTCAGAGTTATGGTCTGAATCCCGATATACATGCTGAAAGGTACAACTTCCTTAAGTTTTGTCAATGAATGTATTTTTCAGAATTATTGTCTAAATCCTGATATACATGCTAAAAGGTACAACTTCCTTAAGTTTTGTCCATAAGTGTATCTTTCAGAGTTATTGTCTGAATCCCGATATACAATATAAAGGTACAACTTCCTTAAGTTTTGTCTTTGAGTGTATTTGTATTCAAAATTGAACTTCTCATATCGTTTTTTTTAATGAACATTCGGCAATTTCATACATGTATCGTTTGATATGTTAATATATAATGGATTTTGAAATATTGTGTTTTTCAAATCATTCTCTTATACAAAGGAAAGTATTATCATGCGTATTTCGACAATTAGAATATTTAAAATACCAATAAAACATCTGTAATGAACATTTAAACGCCAATCCAAGATGTCAAAAACATGGCGTAACTGAAAAAAGAAAGTTCCACTCTCTCGTCAGCTGAAACTTCCTCCAAAATAGAATCCTTCCGCCAACAACAAGTTCCGCAAATATCTCTCGTCTGCTGCAGGCATATTAAATAGAAACAGACAAAGAATGAAGGAAGAACTTAATTACCTTCCAGGATAAGTCCCGAAATAAGATGTGCGCAGTTCATTGCCGGGTCGTGTACCTCGTA